AAGTAGGTTAGGGTTTTTATGGTTGTGATTTCCCAAATCACGGGAAAGATCAAGTACATACTAAGCACTTGTACATGCAAGAAGCGTTCATCTAGCAAAAGTGCATAAAAAGACAACTATTATGGCTAACGAGGATTTCGGGGTTTCATTGATTTAACTGCCAACTTTTTCTATTCTTCTGAAGCATAGGTAACGCTCAATATACCTTTGGTCTCTTGCAAACAAAACTCAAAAAAAAACATTCAAAAGATCGACAATAAACGTACTCTTTCATGACACCAATCCTGCAGCACTTCTAAATCGCCACGTATGAAAGCTTCCAATACGTTTGGTATAACTTCTTTCTCACAAAACCGTAGCCACTCCGCTTTGTCGAACGACGGATCTATCTTGGCTATCTCTGTCAATACTTCCGACACTTCATTCTGGCTGCCTTAACAAATGTTTTCAACATCTATCAAACACATAGGCTATATTCTCGCAGAGAACGCGTCCCACTCCCACGATGCTACCCTACATATATCTAGGAGGGAGACAGGGTTTCGCCATGGACCCAACATTAATCAACCCTCTGCCGTGCTGTATCTGAGAAGTCTCACTGCTCTCATTGTGTGGAAAATGGAAACGCGGAAATGTGGCGGGTTTTGTGGCGCAACCCTGTCTCCCCCAACTTCAGAGGGAACAAGCCTCCTTGAAATATAGCATACAGACCCATGGTAAAATGAAAAAAAAAAGATTTGACGAGTTCAAAGTATACAGAAAAGTAGCTACATTTCCCCCATCTCGATTGTACTCACCAAAAACGCTGCTTATTCGCTCTGTGACACCGCGTACCAGTCGAACCGCAATGTTATCACTTTCTTCATACCTGATCTTCCAGTCGAGAAGCTCTGAAAGGTAGTAATCAATTATCAGAGAAAAGGGGAATTTAGGTAAATCTACTAAAACGAACTGTTGTAATAAACGTTCTCTTCTGAGAATTTCTTCCATCCAGCGTACCAACGAGATTCTTTGTGCAACGTGATCCCTGTAGCATCCCTGCAACATTGTTTGGTAAGCTTACCGGTATTACTCGATATCGAGAAAGATAGAGCTTCAATAAAGGTCACCATCTGCAGCGGTAAATGCCGCCAGAGGTTTCCACGAGCAGAAAATGCGACTTACTCATTCGCCTCTACAGTCCGGTTTGCGAACGCGTCAGCGAATCCTTCTGTTCGTTTCTTCAGCACCTCTGAAGTACAAAGAATTGGGAGAGACATTTACGAAGGGCGATGGCGAGATCGAATCCTCGAGCATACGTCGCCTAGGTCAACCAAACTTCCCATCCCTCCAACTCCAATATCAGTACCAGAATTTTTCCTACGGTGGTAAAAACACAGACTTGTACATAGAGTAGCCTACAACTCTGGTAAGCCGTATCGCATTCAAATGCCACCTCCAATGCTTAATGCAATGATTCTGAATGGAATGAATGTGAACGAATGGCGAATGAGAATGTGTGGCATATTCCAAAAAGGGGGTAGCTCCAACACCGAATACTCCATTCTTTGTAAAAATAAGTAGCAAACTTACAGATTCTTCGTAAGGAAGATCTAGACATGTAAAACACGGATAGTGAGTTATCGACCAAGGTGAAGAGTGCAAAACTGCTCAGTAGCGCTGACTTTAGTCACAGAATTTCTCTAGCAGATGAAACACTAAATTTTAGTAGCGCTAAACTTTTGCCAAATGTTTCTTTTCTTATTCATACGTTCTTGCGTTATGCAACTCCACTCGTAACGAAGAAAGAAGTCGAAGAAAAGCAAATGAAACATTGGATTTCCATGTTCTCACCTGGTCTGGCTGTACATTCGAACATCGGTGATGTTATCAATCTCGTCCTTCACGACTTTCATCGACTAAAGTAAAGGAATGCGACACCATTCAGATGGAACTCTAAGAAAAATACTAATATCATACCGAGGAGACTTGCTTATAAACTTCTGTATCGCCCACTTTCTCTGCAATTTTCTCCACATGTTCTGCAGCAATGCGTGCCTATAAATGCAAATTGTCCATATAAACTTCAAAAGACCAGGATAAAGGGCAAGGGATGAAAACAGCACAAAACTTCAAAAGCATTACTTGGAAAGACTAAAACCTGCCTGCTTCAATGCTTCAGCACCAGCGGCTGTCATTTTCTTTCCAGCTTCTGTTTGCTGGATCTCGTGGACCATCTATAACAGCAAGTAGTGTGAGAAGTATAGCAAGATTAGAAGACAAAATGTTGAAATAACATTGGCGAACAATAATGATGGCGAGAAAACTAATGCTGAAAGCAGTTGAGGCGCTAAACACTACAAAAGAATATATCGAAAGAATCCGACCCGCCAAAAAATGAAGCCATTCTCGACGTTTCCGCGATGAGCCGTATATAAGAATCAGGCAGAAATAGAACCCCAATTAGACCTCAAGTTTCGAATTGAGGCGGCTTAAAGGATCGCGCTCAAGTAGTCCCTTGACTGCAGGATGTGAAACTGAAGCGCTAAAAGTAATAATGGCTAATAGAACACTACCTTGCTCAGTTGATCGCTCAGTTCTTCGATTTTCGCTTTTATCACTTGGGAACTCTTCAAGGTTTCCTTTTCCACGATTTCCTAAACAAAAAAAAGAGATACGATTTGAGCTCTATTTTTATGTAAGAATTTCCTTACAAATTTTTTCCTGGCGTCCTTTAGTGCTTCACTTTCATTCAGTTCTTCCATTCGTTTCTTCAACTGTTTTTGGTGTTCCTAAAATGCAGTTATTCACCGTACCCATGTATTTTACACGATTATTTGAGTTTAAAACACACAAGTGAGAAGAGCCAGTTTCCGTCGAAAGAAGCACAAAATAGCTCTATTTGAAATTTCTATGAGAAATTTCCACGAGTAGAGGTTCTTTATCCTTATTTAGTATGCTGCATAAGACAACGGTTGAGGATTAGCAGAAGCTATCTAGGTAGAAGAAAAGAAGGGTCTCATCCAGTAAGGGGGCATCAAGTGGCTGCCCTCACCCCCCACCCCCTAGACTGCCTACACTCCCCCTGGCGCACAGGTTTCTCGAAGTACGGGACCCCGTGAGCCAGGGGGAGTGAAGGCAGTCTAGGGGGTGGGGGTGAGGGCAGCCACTTGACGTTGCATCACAATGCCTCCCCCTTACTGGATGAGACCCGAAAAGAATAGTAACTCTGAGGACGCACGCATAGTCGGTCGTCCGACAGCAACGATCGTAAGTGTCGCACTTCTGACGATCGATACGCACCTAATGCTGTGCGACACTTGCGATCGTTGCTGTCGGATGACCGACTATGCGTGCGGCCTGATAAAGGAGACAAGTAACACACTAAGAAGCAGCACTACTGCTATATCAACCGAGTCCTCAACAAAATTCTACCCTAGAATAGTTTTCAGCTTAAATCTTTTGAGAAAATACGACATCTTAAGAAGGTAACCCACTTGTAACTCCTTGTTCTTTTCCAATTCTTCTTTCACATTATCAATGAGTTTTCCTAAAAACCCTTTCCGCTGAGGATTTGCGTTACTGTTCCATCGAGTTTGCTGTATCCGTCGGGTTTGATCGAAATTGTTTAAGCTAGCTATCACGTTAGGGTGTCGAATCTGCGGGGTAAATCTTGCAGTGAGGTAAACCGTTCGTCCAAGTGCTCGCAACATGCTGCAACCAAATGGCTAAGAGATAAAAAAATGCGACAAGAATGGTTCTCACCGAAATAAAATAAAAACGAGGAGAAAACGACAGAAAGGAGTGAAAGAAACATGTGGGAAAACAACAGGAGAAGATCATTCGAGTAACTTCGGAGGCATGATGCAACTGCAAATTGAATGTAAATATTGTTGTGCCTGAAGCTGATAATTCCTTATTCTTAACCAAAGACCTACCTTCAGAAAGACTAAAATAAAAAACGGAGAATGTTCCGTCGATGAGGAGATTTCGGAGTCAGAAAAAAAAACAAGACCGCGCATATTCTAGCGAAACACAAAATTAAGAAGAATAGCTCACAAATTCAGGAATCAAGTAGCTAAAAAGATTTCTGGAGATATAGTTGATCTGTCAGAAATGGAAGAAATGAAAAAACCCAACAAGTTTCCCACAGAAGCAACGAAGGGAAATTCCCTTCGAGAAGGGAAATTGTGATAATATGGCGCACCTTTGCCAAATTCCTGCGCGAATCGAACAACAACGCGCGTGAGATTCGAGCTTTGAAAACGGTCGGTCCATTGTTGGGAAGGGTGACATTTTTGCTCCGTTCGGATTCTCTAACCTTTTCATTAGTGTTCTATTATGTGTTGAGGCAATGCTGGCTTGTACGTGAAGGCGAGTTTGGGCGAAAAACCCGCCCCATGTTCTCCGAGGTGTAGGTTTGGGTGGGGTCTTTGGTGCAATAACTCGTGCCAGTAAGGTCGGGTAGGGGGCATGAGGTGCGACAGCTAGAGTGTCGCCTAGAGTAACTTATTTTTCGCAATGGAAGGTGTGTATGCCAGGAGATTTCCTCTTCCTGAAAACGTTGAATTTCCGTAAGCGGAACCAGTAAGTGGACCAAATGTCCCTCTATCCCCTATTGAATGAGAGCACGTACAACTCCTGTAGTATCAATTTTTAGGTAAAGTGTGGGTTATGTGAACAATTTGCTTTTGGCCTTCATGCCTACGAACTCTTTGTGCGAAATTGTGACGCTGAAAGTGCAGCGAACTATTCGTGTGCATATCGGGACCGCTGATTTTTGCAGGCAGAAGCTTGGAATCTGTGAACATTGCGGTTCGCGTGCCGCACCACGATGTACGGGCTTGTTCATATCTCATTTGGTGTGTGGGTTATTGCACGCAACTTTCGTTGCACGAGTGCTCTTTTTTGGTATAGCACCTCTGAAGTTGTCTGGAGACATATGAAAGTCTTTGAGAGGAACCTAAACATATTCAAAGATTTTTTAGTACAGCCTGGCCTTTAGAGAATCTACTTTTTGCTTCCCGGTACTGAAGCAACTATTGCTGCATTCGTCAGCTAATCATTGGTGCTCATCACAGCAGCCTACTCAAGTAATCTTCTTAATGGGGGGTGTGTGTTGGCGACCGTTTCGGCGTGTTGCTATTTTTCTGTCTTTTTAGTTGATATTTAATTTTTTAATTATGTTATATTTCTTTCTAAGGTCTGGTGAAGTCTTATTGTATTCTGTTTTTCTTTTGTTAATTTTAGGGATTGGTTAATTTAGGTTTGGAGTTTGAAATCTGTCTCAGTTAAGTATACATTGTTTTCTCAGAATATTTGTATTAGATGGATCCTTTTATTATTATAGTTTATTTGATTGTTTAGTTCTCTTCTTCTTTGGCTAAATATATTGTCTTTTCGTCGTGTACCTTTTTTTTTTGTTCGTATTTCTAAAAAATTCAGTTTCTATAGCACTATTTCAAGGATTATCTGTTCGATATCTAAATATTAGTAGATTCTATTTAAGCTTGAAGCGTTTGCCCGATGGGTATTTCTGGCATAGGCAAATTTCAATAATGTTTATTTATTAGATTATTGGTTATTCTATTAGCTTATTGTACATTCATCATGAAAGATGTTCGTGTCTCATCCGGTTTTGCATTGTTTGCTAAACTTGTGATAATTTATAATTGAATTTTTCATGTTAATGAGTCTAGTATTTTATATTCTTATTATTTTTCATCATACTGATTTATCCCGTCTCGTTAACTCAAGTTCTTGATCCTAATTTAATACTTAATTAGATAGCACTGGTTCTTATTGCCAGTATATGTGGGGATCATTGTGTGGATTTTCCTCAAATAAGTTAGCGGGTAACTCTGAGCTCAGGGTGAGTGTTTTTAATTGCTGGTGAAAGGTGTCATTGTCCGTGCGATGATTTTGCTGTGAGATATGCTGGAAGTTTTCGTAGTTATTCTATTTTTATGTCTTGCCGTAGGAAAATTGCTTTATTTATGATTGCCGTCTCCTGCCTATAATGAATTAGACGAAGTTCACTTGTAGCGTGAGTCAGTTGTCTCATTGCACTTTTGTGTGATTGTTTAAGGTTTTTTATTCGTTGAATTTTTTATCTCTTATTTTTTTTTCTGTTTGTTCTTTTTTTTTTTTCGTTCTTCTTTCCTATTTTTCGATTATGATTTCAGGAACTGTCCTAATTTGATTAGATTGTGTAATTATATGTGTTCTTTTACCTTAAATATTATTTAATGGAGAATTTTTTGAGTAATTGGTTGTATCAAGTGGTGTTCATTTTGTGTTATAGGTTTTTTTTGATTTATTTTTTATATTAGCTTTTTTATCTTGTCTGTTTCGTGCTGATTGGGGAGTGAGTTTTTGTAGTAGACTTGGTCATTTTTACTTCTGTTGGTATTTACTTGTGGCTATTGTATGCCTTTGTTTTTGTCTCGGTGTGAGGTTCCATACGTTTAGTAGGTTAGTTTGGATCGTTTAGGGTGTAGATATCTGCTGAATGTATTTTTTCTTCTTCTTATACTGCATTTTTTTTGGTCGAGGATTCTTTTCTGTCTGTCTTGATCATGAGTCGATCTCTTTTTTTTTTTTCGTTCGGTTGTTTCTGTGTCATTTTCTTACTTTGTTCGCTCATTTTCTGTCGTTCTTGTGCTGCTCCGCTGTCTTGATTTCACTTCTTCGGCACTTACTGATTTCTCTTGATTGGTATCTAGAGCTGTTATTTTGGTGTTCGACTGATTTTCGTCTCGATTCTGTTTTCACCTTTTTTTTCTGTGTTGGAGCCTGTGGTGTATTTTATATTGGTGAAATTTCATTTCAAAAACTCCTCCTTCACATCAGTAATCTGATTCCTTCCCGTGAGGCAAGGTCTCAATTCCCTTTTTCGTTGGTACCGCCTCTTCTTCATCCCAGTATTGTGCGTGGGCGTGGGAATGAACGCCTCTCCTTTCCGAGCCTTTTGTTTGGTCTCCAAACTTTCGCTCGAGCTGACCCCATTATCTCGAATCAGTCCCCCTTTGTTCCATGGCACTACGCTAAACATCAGTTTCCTCTTCCCATCTTTCTCATTTCGCAATCTGTCTTCAAAGTTTACTCATGAAATTCTTTTTTGGGTGTCGGCTTTATCCAAGCATTCAGCGAAACAGCTTAGGTGTCTGTTTTATTAGTGATTATGGTTTTTCCATTCTGTTTGGTGTTCATTCCTTATGGTCACCTCGTAAAATGTAAGACCAAAGCTTAAGTCTGCAAGTCTGCGATTGTCTGCTCTCTTTGGTAATAAATGCAAATATATTTGGGATTGACTAAGTGCCTGCGTTTTGGACCTTAGTTTTTCTCATATACATTTACCCTCGCAAATAGCGATTTCTTCGTTCAATATTCAGTGCGTAGACGATTTTACGGACCCAACTCGCTTCTAAGGCTGGTGTCAGAGTCCGCGATTTTCGCGATTTTCGCGATTTTCGCGATTTGCGCGATTTTCGCGATTTGCGCGATTTTCGCGATTTTCGCGATTTTCGCGATTTGCGCGATTTTCGCGATTTGCGCGATTTCGCGACGGTCACGGAAATCTCAAGTGCCTCATTCATTACTGCAAGGTGTTCTCTTCCACTTGCTTCATATTCAGTGTTTCAATTGTTCAAATGGGCCACTTGCAATTTTTGTGATCCGCGCGATCTCATGGTCATCCTCATGGTCAGTTCAGAATAGATGCAGTTCCGTCCCTGAACGAATGAGCATTTCAATGAATAATAGACATAACATTAAACGAGTAGAATCACGGGCAGTCTTCCTTCAATTTCCAGGATTAAACAGCACCTCGCAGTATTCATCGGGGCACCTCCAACTCCTGTGACCCATCGCAGGTTTCGCAAAAATCGCGAAAATCGCGCAAATCGAATCGCGGACTCTGACACCAGCCAAATGTTCCTGTACAAAAAAGCGAGCCCTCTTTCACTGCCCCCATCGTCTCCAGAATACGACGTCTGTCGTCGCCGCCCACCTTAAAGAGGCCTATCATACTTCTTCAGCTTCGTCACGGGCATTTCTGAGTCTCAGTTGGATTGTTTCCTGAGGGACTTATCTCTCAATAGCCATCGTCCTCCTACAATCGTTTCCAACAAAACGTTAGTAGGGTGCAGTTCTAATAAACCCTTGAGGAGTTTTCCTCTGAATGGAAAGTTTAGCGAAATGTTATAGATCACCTGATTGTGGAGACATCTTTATTTTATTGCCCCTGTACACAAACCAATTCTCTCAGAGAAGGTAGCTCTGGGGTGGATGCTACTACGGTGGGCAAAAATTATGTGAGCAATACTTGTTCCGATAATCTAATCAAAATATGTGATTGTGAGGTTTTTGAGACTGGGATGCTCTTCACCAAAATACTTTCCCTTGTTCTAACACCTTTCTTCTGTGTATTGAAAGAAGTTGTTATTCATAACCTGCCTTCTTCGGTGGCTTTCTCTCCTAAAGCCATTTAATCCTCTTATGTTTTGTACCGTAGTCTCAAGGTTGTTCTGAGATGCGATATGACAATGTGTCGATTCGAGGTTCAGTTACGAAACTCAGAAGTGGCCTTGTCAGCCCTCGCGGTGGGAGTGGCACGCATGTGCTTAACCATGGCATTTACGAGTCGTTCTTGCTCTCTCCATTCTGTCTGCTTGCTGCTGCTATGTTTTATAGACCTTTTTAGTTATGCCGTGCGGCGATTCCGAAGAAGGGTCGTCACAGTCGGCTCCGTCGCAATTCGAATGGGAGCTGTGTCGTGAGAACATAAAACCGCTCAAGACCGGGCGTCGTGTCGAAGCAATAAATCAGGTCACTTATTCCTGTACGAATTTGTTTTTTTTTCTTTTTTTGGGCCGAAGAAACTGTAATTATTGAGTAATGCTTACATCCCTTACCGTAAAACTTCGACATCTACCCAATTAGAAGTATTTAGCCCAAAGTCTACGCAAAAAGAAGTATTTAGCTTTTGTCCCCCTCACGACTTTCCCCAATCCATGCTTGCTAACATGCTTTTGGCGCTGATTTCGACATAATTTATGTGGAACTTCTCTCCCGTTTAGGCTCTCGCTCTTAGTGCACATGGCTCGAAAGCCCAAACTCTGGCAACGCAGAAGTTCGATGAGATTATGGAATTGTGTGAGACGTCATCGGACCCTCTCAAACACTGCCTTGAGTTCTGCACTTGGTTCGATCAAACATTCCCGCATGGCCGTCAGCGCTTGTATTACTCGTTGCTATGGAAAATAGTACACAAGTAGGATTTCTTTCCAGAAATATGCTTCTTCTTGGAGCTAACATCTTTTTTCCTAGGTACGCTAAATGTCCAGAATATCTCGACGATGAGAGGATGCTGCGTGTATGGGAGAAGTTGGCCGATAATAGTCTTGATCATGGTTGGGAAATTTACCAACACGCAAACACGATTGGATCTTTAGTCAGGTAATTTTTCCGCGCATTTTCACTGCAACTCTCATTTGTCACACTATGTACGCTTCCTTGTACTTATTTGTGACTCCCAACGTCATGGTTGGTTCCGCCTTGTTCAGTAGGTTCATTGGAGAACAGGCCGTTAGCACAACAACCAATTTGGATCACATTAAGAAGG